CTTATCATCACCATATTTTTCATCACCTTCTTCTTCATCTTCATCATCTTCATCATCATCATCTTTTTCTTCTTCATCTTCTTCTTCATCATCACCATCATCGTCATCAGTCTCATCATATATGGCCCCACCGCTAACAATATTGTCGATACGACCTCAAATGTTTCAGCATGATGTACATCAACGAAGCCAATAGCAATGCATTTGTCTGGGTGGGACCAACAATATTATTAATTAAAAAATAATTTATTTATGATCCATTATATCAAGAGGGAAAAAAGAGAGAGAAAGAGAGAGAAAAAGAGAGAAAAAGAGAAAAATAGATACACACTTATGTGTATATGTAGGATATAATACATGATAAGCATAGCGGTGACGACCGCATTCTGCTGCCACTGCAATTATTGTTACTAATATTTAAGAGAATGAAGATAACGACGATGATGAAGAAGATGATGGTGATGATGAAGATGATGGTGATGATGAAGAAAATGATGATGATGAAGATGATGGTGATAGAGAGATGGTGATAAAGAAAATGAAGATGATGGTGATGATGAAGAAAAAAAAGAAGAAGATGATGGTGAAGAAGAAGAAGAAGATGAGGATGATGATGAAGAAGATGATGGTGAAGAAGAAGATGAAAATGAGGATGATGAAGGAGATGAGGATGATGAGGAAGATGATGATGTTGACTTTGGTCATGATGGTGGTGATGAAAGCGACGATGACGACTGCTCTGCCCTAGCAGCCAGGCTTATATTTATGTTGCATCGATACTTTTGGTAACAGCATCATCGCTATTCACATTCGTCAGTCAAATATCGAGAATCGCAAACGTAAGCAGTAGTAGTAACAGCAGCAGCAGCAGTTATAGCACTAGTAGTAGTAGTAGTAGTAGTAGTAGTAGTAGTAGTAGTAGTAGTAGTAAAAGTAAGTAGTAGTAGTCGTAGTAGTAGTAGCAGCAGCAGTAGTAGTAAGTAGTAGTAGTCGTAGTAGTAGTAGCTGCAGCAGCAGCAGTAGTAGTAGTAAGTAGTAGTAGTAGTAGCAGCAGCAGCAGTAGTAGTAGTAGTTGTAATAAAATTAGCAGCAGCAACATAGGAAGTATATGTAGTAATATTACAATACATATAGTAGTAGAAGTTTCAGTAGAAGCAACAAAAGTAGTAGTAGTAGAGTAGTATTAGTAGTAGTAGTAGAATAGCAGTAGTAGTAGTAATAGTATTAGCAGCCGTAGTAGTAGTAGTGGTAGTAGCCGTAGTTGTAGTAGTAGTAGTAGTCGTAGTTGTAGTAGTAGTAGTAGTTGTAGTAGTAGTAGTAGTAGTAGTAGTAGAGATAGTAGTAGTAATAGTTGTAATTTTGCCAAAACAAATTTAATGATTTCTACAACAACAACAAGTAGACTCATTCATCCGAATGGTTAAGAACGAGTTGCAATGAAGATATTGTCGATATAGTCACGGGCATCATGTAACCATTTAAATAGCACTTAATGTCAGAATGACGATGGAGAAAAAGAGGATGAAGATGAAGATGAGGACGTTGCTGCTGATGATGATGCTGATGATGACGATGATGACGTCGAAGGCGATAAGGATGATGTAGTTTGTTGTCAGAATGAGAGTTGCTTAGAACTTTTATAAGGGAAATAAGACAGTAAATGTGTTAAACCCCGTTGTTGCATTGGCTGCTACTGCAACAAGAACCACAGCGATCAACTGAAACACATTTTTATACTAAAATCACCAAAAAAAACCCACAAAAGATTATGAAAATAACAAAATAGACATAGCCACAATAGCGAATGACCTCATAAACATTGCGTCACCGAAGGATTTATATTTCAATTCCTGTTTTAGTTTTTTTTTCAACGGCATTTCGTAACTCAATGCAATATTAAAGAGGGTCTAGATATCATGGCTGTAAACATTTCATCCGACATTTTCGATTTTAGAAAATAATTTAAAGAAAACTTATAACAAAACAAAGAAATGAGTAAATATATATTTATTTATATATTAAGTAGTATATATATTTCATATTGACAAGAATTTAGCTGGTTACTTTAACTGATATTTTCGTGTTTGTTGCGTTATAAAATTTCTCATAAAAGGTAGACGATGATGATTTTGTATTACTTTAATGTCAATTTTTGTGCTTTTTCATAATAGTTTGTTGGTTGACTTGAGAAATGATTTGAAGAAAAAGCGACTAGATGAGAAAAATAAACATAATAAAAATTACATTGCAATAGTAGTTACAGCTGAATGAATTTTATCACGTTAATCATCACCGTCAAGATGTTTAAATTTTCAATGCCATTGAAGTACCCAATTATATCGAAAAAAAAATTTTTTTTTTCTCAAAAATTCTTCCGAGAACAACACTGCAAAAAAAACAGCTTCAATTTTTAAAATATTCTCACACAATCTTATCATTCATTACGTGAAGAAAAGATGAAAAAACTCACGCACACACACACAAACAAACACACACACAAACAAACACACGTACACACACAGGCACGGCACGCGGTGTGGTAGTTAACATAGGTGACAACACAGTCATGGGTCGCATAGCAAATCTGGCGTCTGGTCTAGAAACTGGGGAAACCCCTATAGCTCGTGAGATCGCCCACTTCATCCACCTGATAACAGCGGTTGCAGTTGTCCTCGGTATCATGTTCTTCATCACGGCACTCATTCTTGGCTACAGTTGGCTGGACGCGGTCATCTTCCTCATTGGGATCATAGTTGCTAATGTCCCCGAAGGACTGCTGGCTACTGTTACGGTTGGTTGGTTCTGTGGAGGGTAAGCTTGGTTGATTGGGTTGGTTTAGTTGGTTTGGTTGATTTGGTTTGGTTGGTTTGGTTGGTTTGATTTTGGTTGGTTTGGTTGGTTTGGTTTTGGTTGGTTTGGTTGGTTGGTTAGTTTTGTGGAGGGTAAGCTTGGTTGATTGGGTTGGCTGGCTGGTTTGGTTTTGTTGGTTTGGTTTGGTTGATTTGGTTGGTTGGTTGGTTGGCTGGTTGGTTGAATATTAGTTATAAGTGCGATTTGTGTTATTGATTTTATGACTCTTTTTCTATTCATTAATTCTAACAAATTACCTTCAAATTTCTGACGTAACATATAAAATTTATCTTTATCTTTAAAATGCGTTAAACCAAAAACTAAATACGACCGAAAAACTAGGTTTGTCTGACATTGACAGCCAAACGTATGGCGAGTAAAAATTGCCTGGTAAAGAATTTGGAAGCGGTGGAGACATTGGGTTCTACGTCAACCATCTGCTCGGACAAAACTGGAACTCTCACACAAAACAGAATGACCGTTGCTCACATGTGGTTTGATAGCAAGATTGTGGAGACTGATACGAGCGAAGATCAGTCTAGTTAGTCTGTGTGTGTGTGGTGTGTGTGTGTATTTGTTTGTGTGTGTATATATCTGTTTGTGTATTTGTGTGTGAGTGTGTATGTATGTGTGTGTGTGTCTGTTTGTGTGTGCATGTATGTGTTTTTGAGTGTGTATTTGTGTGTATGTATGTATGTATGTGTGTGTGTGTGTGTGTGTGTGTGTGTGTGTGTGTGTGTGTGTGTGTGTGTTTGGAGGTTTGAATTTGTTTTGTGTCAAAGTTGGAAAATGATATTGTTTGTGAATTCTTATCACGAAATTACTTGCGTTAAGTGATATTAA